AATTTTCAATCTCTTGATGTCGACTGACTGTATTTTAACATAACTTACATCATTATGTTTCCCCTAGATTCCTAACACAACTTACAGAGACTTTCAGAACTTATGAGCTCCACTCGCTCGATTTTATTATGTTTTGTTACTCAACTACCAGCAACTTATCTAACTTCTGGGGGTAAATCCTAATTAATTTCACGTTGCTGCCACCAATGTTATTTGAACCTTGCTTTTGGTAAGATATGCATTAGTAACAACTCAACACAACTAATCATTCTCACGCTCATATATTCTGCTTACTAGTATCTGGCGTGTTTAGATAGACCTTTGTATGACGATTGATTTGTGTTGATGCACTAGAGAATGTTAAACCTGTGTGACAGCAGATCACAATGCTATTGGATAACACGATTCTCTATGGACGACTCGATGTACAGATATAGCCAAAATACACCCACCTCACGTTAAAATCACAGTTAGCACATGTGCTTCGTATTGTACTCATTCTGGCTTCCCTTCACTTTTTCTATTTTGTTTCTCAAAAATAGTTCAATTCTTTTCTTCGCCACTGAATCCATCCGTCCAATAATGAATATTCCTGCAGATGATATATGTATATAAATATATATGCATATACTTATACATATATATATATGCCAACGTCAACATACTACTCACACTGTGTTATGAAGTGAAATATGATGAAAGTTTTCCTGTATGCAGGAGAAACTTCCGGGCAGATATATTGAAGAGTCGGTACGTTGGTGGCACAGTGGTTAGGACTCTCGTCGACCATGCACATGGTCCGGGGTTCGATCCCCTGCCGACGTACACCCGATATCTATGGCCGGCCTGTAAAATTTGGGCTACCGATATCCATGGTGAAAATTCCGTACTTGTACTGAAAATATGGTGTGGAATCGAGCTGTAACCAAAAATTAGAAATTAAATTAAGAGTAAAAGAATATAAACTATGCCTGAGGATAGTGTTTGCACTCTCACTAGATATAACGAAATCGCAAAACAAGTCATCGTGTTCACCACATTCGACAGAAGACAAGGTTGACTTTGTTAGGAGTAAGGTTCTACAGAAGGGCTACTGGCAGAGATCGTCCTTAGGAAAGAGATTCTAGGTGAGTGATTGATGTGACAGTGTGGTGTCAGAGTCGGCATGCAGAATCCTGACTAATAAATTAAATAGGTCTGTATAAATTGTTTTCTCCCATCCCTTGACTCCCGAGTGTGACATGCAGCTATAGGCTTGAAGCATTGAGATTTCAGTAGCCACAGTGTTGTACTTACGGGGTGAGATTGCCAGCCTCACGTCCACATTTACTTTCTCCTCGGCTTACTAATACCTGGTCTGTTGGCATGCACCCCGCACCACGTAGGTGAGTAGCTACCATTCCTCTCCACCGCTTTTTAATAAGTTTAATTGTTTCTGACTACCTGCACTATATAAAGCAACAGCAATTTCACTGACGCTAGTAATAATAGCTTTTTCCTATAAAATGTGTTTATATACAATACAGAATTTTTGACGAGTCTGTCCCTTGTAGGGTCGATGGTATGTACCTGAATCTACTTCTACACTCAGCGTCACACAGGGTATAACATGCAGAGCGGCAGAGTGGGACAGGTGTCGTCGTCAGTTAACTTTCAATATTAACAATATTAAGAAAGATGGTAAAATGCAACACTCAAAATAATTCAGCGAAATTCTAAGTTAATCGACCAGTGTTCCCCAGCAGTAATTGGTGAGAAATGCTCGTATGACTGGAGGGTAAAATAGCGTGAATAGCTGGTGACTCTGGCATCGACAGTGTGAAGCGGTCATCCGGTGTTCGTATAACTTCGCCTTGGCAAGTGAGCCATTTGACTGATCACATTAGGCAGTGCTAAACATAATTATTCATAAAAAATAAAATAATTGAGCAAAGAATATACTTTTCGATAATTTCCTCTTCTGGATCTACAGTTATATAGACTATGTTTATGTACACAGAATATTCAAGAATAGTAGTCAATAACAATATCAGTGTTTTTTAAATAATATCGGTTCGTTAAGTAACATCCATGGGATCACAGTTCATTAAAGATGCATTAAATCACAATAATAATAATGATAACATAATAGCAAATAGAATATCAGCTAAAATTAAGGAAATTTTAAAAAAATTGAGGGTTATTCGAATCTAGATGGCCAAGGTAAGGACAATGTCTGGACGAGCTTCTTTTGGACACAAAAATTAGGCTTCCTAATGTGGATCACAACGGCCTCAGCAATATTTAGTAGACAAACTCTTAAGGCAAAGTTAAGATTTGTTGTTATGCGGTAAATGACTTTGAAAGCCTCTTGCGTTCTGTATCCGCAAGATGAGAAACAATAGAGCTACGAAAATATTTTGTTGCTGCTTCACTTAACCACCCAGAGTGATGTTCGGAATCCGACGAGAAACACGCCTTATTGTACGGCCTATGTAACTGGCTCCACAGGAGCAGTTACACTGATAGATACACATGGAAGAGGTGAAATTAGGCAATTTATCTTTTACTCTCGAAAGCAAAATAAGGCTGGATAGTTTTGAAGACACAGAGTAACTCAGCAGCAGGGAATGCTCTTCTTACCGCATTTCTTAGGTGTTGTGTTAGTATCTCACTGATGTTGTCCTCGAGGAGCTGAATTTATACGAATAAGGCTTTTCAGAAACTGTTGGTACCTTAGGCTGCTTTGATTTCATATTCATATTCCTATCAATAAACTTTTCTAGGTCTTGTATATTGATTTATTCTAGATTTCTATTTATTGATGGATTAAATGATCAAGACGGACTTGTTTGACTGATGCATTTGATCTAATAATCTTTATATGGAAGGCAGTGTGTGAATTCATTTGTTTGATAAAAAGAAATTGTGACAATAGATAATATTCTGAATGACGTTGGAGTAACCGATTTCTCAGCATAGGGAACCGCCTAACAAAGGAGACAAAATTGAAGGGATTGAACAACAGCTTATGGATATTTTGAAAAGATGAAAGGCAATCAGTTAAGCAACCACAACATTTCTGAATGCATCCAATCAATAAGCTCAGTAATAACAAGGCTTCTTTGTATATCAAACATACACAAATCTAGCCTGAAACTCCGTTTTATTCAAGAGGTGTCTGGATCTTCTGTCGTTCAAATGGAAGATCGACTGCAGACATTCCAAGACCTGTAGGAAAACATATTTGTATGTGCTTGCTTCACGACACTTTCATTTTGACGACTGCATGCAGTGTATGAGTACCTTTAATAAAGTTATACTATCTCTTGATATCGAATCACTCTTCCTCAATGTTACACTTACACAAACCGTTTACTTATTTGCTGATATATAGGTGACAACTAGTTAAACTTCGGAATGCTGATAGTATATATGAAGGAACTGTAACTGATATTTACCGCTAATATCTCCTTCACACTCCGAGATACTAAAGAGAATATGATGTGATTGCAAGCGGATATTCCTTGGGTCGAATGCTAGAAGTGTGTTTTTATGGCGAATTTGCATAGCGGACTATTAAATTCAAATATTTGTTATTTCCGACTGTGTACAGGGCACGTGTTTGACATTTTGATTGTGTGTGGAAAAGAATATGACTATATTCAACTATCATAGGAGTTTACAAACTTCTATTCAATTAGAAAATCCACTCTTGAAATGTATAATGAATCTTAAATTTTCATTGATGATTTTGAACTAACAAGGAGAGCGGGCAATGCATTTGGAAGCATGGTTCATGTGAAACCGACATGGAACAGTCAACTGACAGGTTTCTATAGCTGGATGCCAACTAGGCAGAAAGGGAATTTAATTATCTTCTTTGTGAATTGTGTCCAACGCATTTGGGAAGGACGTTCTTCTTAGTAACACTAAGTGTATTTCTTTACAGCTTCCCACTGGTCTACAGAAGCCCGCAAGACAAGACCTGTGCGCACACATCAGATTACCCGCTTCTATGGGTTCAGATATATCGGTAGGTCAAGGCAGATTCTGTCTGAGAGGGTTTAAAAGACTATCCTGGAAGGTTTCAGAAAGGTATAAATACCTCCTCAAGAGATGTAATAACTGTGAACAACTCTTTGACAACGACAACTGTGTTTCGAAATCTCCCGTCAGATAATATACACGTTTGCCTCCTTTGCGTTGTTTGCACTCTAGCCACACTGGTAGAAAGATGGTAGTGCTGCCAACATGGGCGAATTCTCCAGCCGCATCTACTACCATGGAAGTGACCCTGTTATTTTCAATAAATCTGGTTGGTTTTTCTAGCTCACTGTCAGTCTTTTATTTTTCCAAACCCCTGAGTAATACTAAATTTCCTTCCTTTCTATTCGCATCCTGATTGCACCTCATCCACCACATAATTAGTCTCATTACACGGCCATGTTGCCTTTATTCAACTTCTCTTACATGTTGATTAATATTAGCAACTATGACTTCGACCTTCCAACTCTTCTTTTAGTAAAGTAATTTTGTGAAAAAAAACAGTTGTGTATAAATGCAACTACAAATGGGGGAAATCTGATCTCTAAAAACAGCCACTACACTGAACCACTTGATTTATTTTCCCCATTCATGTGCAGATGGAGGTTAAGCATAAATAAACTAGCCTAAGTTTATCTTCACTATCACCTACATGCAAATATTCACAAGTCATTTATTATCTCATTTTCTTAGGTTCACCTGCTTTGTATTCATTGGCTTAACTTACAGTCAAGTATTCTTTGTTTCTGAGGTAGATATCACGTCTCTTATACACTGTATATCAGGTGTTTACTCGAGATATACAGGCTCGGTATGTTAATCGGTTGACAGTGTCTAGTAGTGGAATCCAAGCAACTCATTTCTTCTTACTGATCTTCAGACATCGTCGAATTATATGTACCAGGAGGCAACGCATCAACAGAGACTGAGCATTTTTGTACAATATGAACAATGAGCGGAAACACGAATTACCATGAGCTAATAAAGACTGTGGAAATTAACTATAATTATTGTATAAGAAATCTGTTACGTTCTAAGTACAATTACATTTATGAAGTGAAGTGAAAAACAGTCATGTACCTGTCAGTCTGAAACTGAAGTCAGTTATAAATGAAGATGAAGCATATTCATACACCATGCAGAGAAGTGATGTAACAAGTGACGAGTAGAACTGTTATGCCTCACCATTACTATGCATCAATAAGGAGAAATGGTTAGTGGACAGCAAGGAGTAACAAGGGAACCAATGATATCCCAAATCATAAAATAAAAACAAACAATAAACTTCAGTACAGTGAAGTACTCTGTGAAATTTATTTACAGTGTATGAAGTTTTAATTTTCATAGAATTCTGAATCGATTTCTAGGGAAGTATGGAGGCTTTTGAAAGCAGGTTGAGTAAGAAATTTCAAAATATTCATAAAAATGGTAAAAAAGAGAGAAATACATTCTCTTACCAACATATGTCAATCGGTATGAATCTTGCGCGAAAGAGTAAAATACTACTTTATCGAAACTAAGTATGATTTCTAGAACAGTGTAAGTCTGAGTAGACGGTAACATCAAAGTTTGCATCCAACCGATTACTTTTCATCTCTTGTATAACTTTCTCCATAACATAATACTCTGTACAGTCATAGGCAATAGGTTCGAAATCATCATCAAATTTGTTGGCGAAAAATTCTGGTCGCGATGGTATGTACGGGAGATTACCTGCACCTATAATACACACAGCTCGACGAACTCTGGAACTTTTACAGCCTTCGTGAAACCATGTCACATAACGTGCGATGAATCGTTTTCGTCTATCTGAGTTATTAGTTTCATGAATTTCGTTGCAAGCACCTGGTGCACCGAGTGATGGATCGTGGGTAAGCGTTGAGAAAAATAATTCATCCGGAACCTTCCGTAAGTGTTTTTCTGCTTTCAGAGCATCGAGTATTTCATTCGCTTTTGGATCAGTTTGATAGAAGTGTACAAATTCTCGTTTCAATGCCAAATAGAAACTGCCTTTGCTCCAGATGATCTGTGAGTAAGCAGAACAAGAAACTGTACAAATTAATAAACGTGTAAAACTTGGGCACTGTGGTAGTAAGTTATTCCATATTAATTTGTTTATTAGGTTTATCACACAGTGAAACGGTATTATTTACTGGATGACGTTTCGAACAAAATTTATTGTTCACAATCATATCAATAATATTCATACAACTTTGAAACTTGAGTTTGATAGTGTTGTTTGTTCTCTCCTATTTGTCGTAGGGGTAGTAGAATTTTCCAGATATCTAAAACAGGTGTTGAATCATTCCTATTACACGTATTTGCAGGTGATTCCATAAACAAAGCTTCTGTTATCAATCTATCCCTCAACCCTGTGATATTAGATCTTAAAACTGTCATCTTATCCCATCCTATTGTATGGTTGTGTGTAACTGCATGTAGTGCTATAGCTGAACTATTCTCTAGATTTCTTATCTTATTCGGGTCAACTAATCTAGATTTCGCTAGGTTTTTATGTTCGGCTAGTCTGACTGCCCCTGTTCTACTATTTTGACATATGTATTTGACCTGACAGTCATTCCAGTAGGGTATAAGATAAACTAAATCGTTTTGTTTTAAAAGCTCCACAGGATCCTGTAACCAACAAGGCTTGTTTCTAATTGAGTTTGTGGGTTTGAATGCCAGCCACTTTTATTCCTGCCTTGTTAAGAATTCTGCAGAAAGTTTCTGAGGTTCCTTCCATGTACGGAATTACTTCTGATGATTTAGATTCCTTATTGTTGGTGTTGTCTTGCGCATATTTGACCTGTATGTCGTCACTAATATTATTATCACTATCATTATTTATTTTATTTTTACATTTCCCTTCATACCTTCTGACTAATTTATCAGGGTAATTACTAAGTTTCAAAATTTCTCTTATGTCTCACTTCCTGTCTTGGATTTTCCTTGGTACTACTTAGTTTTTGTAACCTATCACTTAAACATTTCACCAATCCTAATTTTATTATGTGTACATTCATCCTTACCAAATTAAAAAGTAAAGTGAAAAAGTACCATTAAGTGTTTGAAACAAGGCTTTCTATACCACCTCACTCAAATCAGTCAGAAAGCGGAACATCCCATTCCATCATGATTTAGATTACAAGCTTTTGCATACCATCGTCGCCTCTGACAGTTCAGCTGATAGGGCGTCAAATTAGTAATTCGAATATCACTAGTTCTACACCCACCACCAACCAGAGTTTCCTTCTACCTTCAATTGCACATTTACCACCCTGGGCATACAAAGAAGCAGCAATTGATAATTAGTTTGAATGGCTTTCGTCAATCGCATTCTTTATCAGAAACAGCTACTACGAACACATACATTTCTTTGGGACTTTTTGGCTGAATATTGTGCAAATATGACCACTTTTACCAGTTTACAAGTTTAACATACATACGAACAAGACGAACTTTAACAACAGTGTGCTCCATAAAAGAGTGGTAATTCGCCAGCATAAGTGAAAACAGAATAGTACTCATCAACTTACATGTTAACATTTGAAATAGAGTTACCATGGAGGAAGTAATACAAATTATAATCATTCAGAGTTCAATAAACTTAATTGAAAGACGACCTTTTTAAACTGATATATTTAGACCACATAGATTTAAATGAAAAACGTTTGGGTGTAACGGTGGTTCAGGAATAGAATTCTCGCCAGCTACACACGTCGTCTAGTTTCCATTCGCGGGTGATGTATCGCTAATACTTGCCTAGTCGGTAGCAAATGCAGGAAGGAAAGAAGTTAATGACCTCATCTCCATTAAACTGCTGATGAAAGCTGAAAGCTTGGAGCTTGAAGTCCCATCGTTTCATTCTGAGCGTGAAGAAATGAATAAGCAAGATATAACAAGCCTGAAATAAACTCAGAAGTGGAGTTTAATGCATTCCTCATCAAGATTAATACTCAACTGTGACTTTTAGACTTCAAGTATCTCCAAGAGGGGAAGGGAGAAAAGCACTCCATGCATTTGAACAAATTGTTTAGAAGATCCCTCCAAGACGATATATTAATAATATTTACACTTATTTAGACATTTCAAGTGACTTAGTAATTATTGCGTGGTTTCCCACCAGACTAAGTATCCTCGATTCGACATCCGCATATGATATGCTGGTTATTGACCTTTATTATTCGCTTTTTTCCACGCCTAATCTCTTATTGTGATTCTTCTTTGTAGTTGTGTTAATATTTACAGTGTGTTGTTTACCAATATAAGTTTGTTTGAGTGAATGCAGGTCATTCCGAGCTAGAACTGCCTCCATGAATCCTTAGTGTGTAGTTCTTGCGGATAGAGCTTTTGGTCGTTGGGTGTATTCTGCTTGAATCTAAGGTATTTGTTTGCAGCTGAACTTCGGTTGACTAGTTTTGCGTTACAGTACTTGTTTTGTATATAGAAGCATATCTTGCCCGTATAGCCACCTCACGACACTGTTAAGGTATGTTTGAATCGAAGTTGATATGGCTTAAAAGAACCGCTAAATTATCACAGAATGATCGTCTATTTTTACTACGTTTGGGACGTTTTGTGATCACGCTTGTCTCAACGAAGTTTTGTCAGCTATACAGTAGAACGTAGAGATCAGTATCTTGCAATCAGAACATAACCGAATAAATTTGGTTGATATAATGAAATAATGACGCTTTTAATAAAATCAAGAACCAGAGTAAAGAAAAGGAAGGACGGAAAGGAGATGAAAAGTGTACTCCTGTTCACAAAGACCCGGCCTTTACAATCAAATGATAAACTATTCCACGAGACCCAGACACTTTCTTATCTCCTTTCCTATTGGTGACCATATCGCTTATATTCGCCATAATAATAGTATGATCATGATCCAGTTAGTGACGTCTAACTGAGTTTCTTGGAATCCCATTGTGAGTACTTGATTGGCAATCAAGACAGTGTCTAGTGACACAAACTGAAACATTATTTATCCAGTGACATATTAGAAGATAATTACTTCATTATTTACTGGAGGACATTTACAATTGATCTGATGTCAAATAAGTGAGTGAAAATCAATTGATCGAAACATAATCATCAATTGCAATGATGCAGAAGAATACACAATTATGTTGTAAGTCCAACAATCGTCACAATAGCGAGGTGAAAGTTATCACAGTCTCCCTTTCAGTGCATGCAGTGGTTCAAAGTCATTTGTTAGCAGTTGATTCAGTGAAATAAAGCAAAATTGGTGTTCCTGTAATTGTCGATATATTTTGAGATAGTAAAAATATCTACTCAATATCCTGCTTAAATGACACTTCGAGAGATCGAACAACGAGTAAAAGACTAGGAATTTTTAATACTCAGTCTTTGGGGATATGTATGGAGATCCCAGTAGATGCCCCCATTTCTGTCCCCTTAAAATGCTCACTTTAGCACATACATATGGATTTATAGAACCAGATGGAGGTGGCTTCCAATGCTACTGAAACACTTCCACTCGATGAAGAGGTGGGACTCGTGTTTTATACAGGAATGTGCGCAAAATCATGGTCAGATCAGGCGTGATCTTTTCATCAACCGATCTCAAGTTAATCAACTATGGTCTTGTAGAAAGTCAGTGGATCGTCACGCGTATTACACATCTCCAGCATATCATCGTTCTTAACTTGAAATAGATACTTAGTCTGGACATCGCGCATGACGCAGATGCAATAAATGAGAGTGTCCGGTATTCTGCGAAATTCGTGTGTTTTTCTCTTGTGGCTATGTATCAAACTCTAAAAGTTAGACAAAGCTGGATGATTTACAGTATATTCATCCGTTGGTATATAAGCACGTCACTGCGAAACAGTCGAGATTACGTAGACTGGAAAACGTCAGCCTGAAATTTCGTCATTATATTGAGGCAGAGATAAATTTGAGGCTCAAATAGCAATTACTATTCGTAGCATATATGAACACATACCGAACCACGGTAATTAAAAGGAAGGAATTAACCATTGAGACATGCAGTAACACAACATCTGATTGACAGAAGACATCACTTAAACATTTGAACTCTTTCTGAATAAAAACAAAATAATCGAGCAAAGAATAATAAAGAAAGAATAAAGCTCACATCTCTTGAAGTTCGCAGAACCCATCGCTATCGAACTTTTCAAGCTTGATTTATGTATTTAGAAAGAAGCCATAAGAAGTCTTCTCCCTATTCTAGTATCCTGAGTCGTACTACCACTGTGGTCTAGAAGTAGTGATTCGTATCACTTCATATACATATTCACCTTGATGAACTTGATTGAAGGAAAAAACAGCAGTTTGTAAAAGAATAAGATGGTACCGACACTGATTTCGTCAGCCTCTCATCATTTGAGTACACAACCTGAAAAAGTCACTAAGTTTATATACAGAGCAACTTAATCCTACTTGCAAGAGTGATATGATGTCAGTCAACCGAAGACTCCGAAATCAATAAACAGTGCTTAGAAAATATACTCATGCATACTATGCTCATCAGATGGTTTGATCTTATGTTTGTATACAGCGGAAAAGGAGGTGTGGGATAAAGATAAGTGATAGATAGGCGGATGATAAGTAGCTAATAGGTTGTGTAACAATGGTGTAATGAGACATCGACAGGCACCATTTTTATGTTGGCTAAAATTGTGCATAGACATTCACGTGTATCTGAGCGTGTGCTTAAAGACCTGCTTCTCAGGGGGACAAACGCCTTCATTATTGCTACTGCCTGGCATCTCGGTGAATCGCGTCATATGGTGAGCACCCTGAAATCCTCCAAATTTACCAGTAGAAAACATAGTCCACTCATCCCAAACTTTGCCGAATTAGTTGCTATCAAACGCCTAACACCAGACTTATGTTTTTAGGAGGAAGCAGCTATTAATCTGTGCCTGTTGTGGCAAGTCTCTTTCACTTGATTACGTAATCTTTCGAATTAACCTACTCCCTCTTCTCTATGATATCGATTACCTGTCTTTCCTTCCTTTGGTTGTAGTTGAACTCAACATACTGTTGTGCAACTCACTAGTCACTAATTGTAAGACTTGTAAGACTATTGTCTTTATTACACGACTCTTATTCCACTATATTCAAACATTGTTGTTTTTTTGCTTGAATATGAACCTTGTGTATTGAAGCTGTATAAGCGTAATTTCTGAGCACTGTCTATTGATTTAGCACTCATCCGTTATCGCGATTGATGTCACCTTCACAAGTAAGTTAAGAGTGCTCTGTACTTCAACTTGATTAATTATATTAGGTTGTACGTGACTGATGAGAAGCTGACGGAATAAACGATGGCAGCATCTTGTTCTGTGAAACCATTGTACTGTTGTATTATACATTGCAAACTAATCAAAGTATATTATTCATTAATTTATTTTTTGGATTACAGCTTGACTCCACACCGTATTTTTGGTACAAGTATGGAACTCTCAGCATGCGATATCGGTAGCCCAAATTTTACAGGCCGACCATCGATATCAGGTGTGCGTCGGCAGGGGGTCGTACCCCGGACCATGTGCATGGTCGGTGAGAGTCCTGACCACTGTGCCACCGATGCACAATTAATCTGTCCTAAGACAGAGCTGAAAGAATGAGGCAAGTCTCATTGTATTAAGCCCCACCACGAAAATCTTCAGTAAAAGGCGACAGATTTATCCATAGATGAGGAGACACCAGAGTTATTGCTCAATGTTACTCAAAAATGGTGAATATAAATACGACTGTACAGCCCCTGAAAGATGATTTCGTCGATAGGGAAAACATTCCTTCATGACTCACTGGGTATTTTCGGTGATTTGAAACATAACAAAATATATTTGTTGTCTGAGTAAAAATCCTACCATTATTAACTACATATCTTCTTTTCAGGTGACAGTGTTTCCTACTATTACAGAATGAGTTTGTGATTAGTGATTCACAAACACTAGACCGTATCACGTACCATGCTAGTCGATAAGTTCGGACAAAGGATGACGAGTAGCAAAGCTAATATCTACATATATAATGATAACTACTATTAATATTCACGAAGTGACCTCTTTTGACTAGAGGAATGATGGATGAGCTGTATGTTTGAGCTGTTTGTGTCGCTAGTCTGTAGCGTCAACAACAGAGTAAAAGGCTGCCATTAAATACATGACGATCACTAGATTTTTCACTTATTTGCTAGATATATGCTTGTTTCATGTGATGTATATTCATTGCTCCCACTAATACGATGACTTCGACTTGAAGAAAGTTTTGCTATTATAAAGCAGTATTTTTGTGGGCAGGGGCTATACAACTAACTAACTTTCTAGTGTCACATGAAATCAAGCTAACGATTCAGACATGACACGGTCCGAACAACTTAAGATGCCCGAAAAGTAGAACACTTATTCACTTATCATACACTACTGAACACACCTCTCATTTGAATGACTGTGTGTTATTTCTGCGTAAACTAATGTGGAGGACACGAATTCGCGAAGGGTCAACAAAAATCCTTTGAATATCGGTCATCCAGAAAGCGAATGAGATGTAACATATGAGAACATCTTACCGGGAATGTGAAATTTTTCGCCGGCCATCGGGATGGATTAGGCCCTGGACCTAGACCTTCAACAACATTCGACCCATTGATTGCCTTCAAAGCTGTTACCAACTCCCAATTCGTTCTCAGTGGCAATTCCTGTCCACTCACATTCAAAATGTATTTCCACTTGTATTCAGTATTCTTCATCAATTTGTCAGCACAGAGAAGAAACGTTTCGAGGACGGAGTAATAACCCCATTGAACATCAATACTTTCCGATCGATTCACTACCATTACATTTGGACCAAAACAATTGGCTAGTACCAACACTTCATTATAAAATGATTGTGGCGACTTAGAGTCAACGTGAATGCAGTACAGATTGTGTTGTCTGTGTATCAGTCGGAGTAGTCGAGACACCTGTTTGATGTAATCGTGTACAGATATACTGAAGGCTAGCGGGAAATGTTTCTCCTCCATCGATGATTGAACTACATGTCCATTGAATAACTTAAATTCACGACAAACATCAGTATTGGATAAATTTGAATTGTTCACGTCCCAGTTCCCCTGAACACTTTCAATAACTCCTTGACTAGAATTATTCACAGGGTTTCTGAAGAAATATTCGCATACACTTTTGAGTTCACGGTAACGTTCAAATGATAATTGGTCCTTATTATCTCTGGATTCATTTAACGAAGAAAATAAACGATGTAATATGAATAACAATGTAAGTAAATAAATCCCTCGGATTGCATTTCTAACTACACAACAATGACTGAATTTAGTTAACAATCCCTTCATTCGCAAGATGATTATCTGAAATTTACGTAAATACACCCTTTCCCACTATTCAGTAAGCAGTTGAATAATTAGATACTAACATTAATTCAAAAGTGGATTTCAAGTCTAGTTGAGAAATATGTGATCTTTATACTTTGTGGAGACCAAATCGTATTCATTTACGTGTGGAACACTCCGTACTGAGCAAATTTTTCAAAGAAGTATATTGAAATATGATTGGATAATGAAAACGGTGATAGAGATGGCACGAATAAATAAACATAAGCAGTGAGTATAAAAAGAAATTAACTAATTACTTAATTCACTAACTAACTAAATAACTACCCAACTAACGACTTAACCATTTGACCTAATTAAGTGTTTTTAAAATGTTGAAAAATAAGTACAAAAGCTAAAATTAGTACATAAGTAAGTCTCACTAGGAATTCTATTGATTTCATTAAACACCATAGATGTATTAGTAGTATGTGTACAGATTCAATTTTAGAAAAAAATACCAAGTGCTTTTTATTACTAGTAGACAAAAAATCACAACACAGGGTAACCCTTTCATTGACTGGTCAATACAAAGTAACCAGTATTAGAGTGTTTAGTTCTTTTGGGCTGACAGAATTCGAACATTCAACTTCGCAGTGTAAGCATTCAGGTATGAGACTTACCGGTACGGTACAGTTTAAAGTAAACGGCTGAAAGCTTTTTGAATGATGTCTCATGTCAACTGGCACTGTTCACCAAGATTTATCTACAGCTGAAACAGGGCTGGAGTGTCATCAGATATCCAAACCCATGTCATCCGTCGCCACAGTTTCAGACATTATCACTGAGTTTCTGACCTCTTGCATGATTAGCTAATAACGAGTATATATATCTATGCTGACAGAATTTCAGGCTCACAAAATCATATCAGTGTTATTTGTACAATGTAACGTAATCTGAATGGTCATCACTCCCTACGATTTTTCAGTCAGTTCTAACCAACAGTTTCAAGTTACTGTGAAAACTAAGTGCACTGCTTCCTGTAAGCTCCCTTCAATCATCATGTTGCATTAATCTGTGTGGTTTGCTGAAGTCTGAGTAGAATAGTGTATATACCAGTATAGGTAGGTAAGAGTCCTGAGAATGACAGACAGTAAGTACTACAGTAAATCTTCTCAATAAGATTCTCTAATAAAAGAACTTGTTGTTTAAGGTGATAGGAGCTGTCTAATACCAAATTATCAAATGGGCCCCATATTTACTACTGAAAATGAGATATGCTGAAATTTATGACAATGAACAATTATTCAGGTCGGGTATACATTTGATCTCCTAATGAATCCTTCTTATATTCAGCCTGAAGCAATAGCACTGATTATATTATTTTTAGAGTGTTACAGTCAGAAGTGGAATTGCTTAGCATGGTTGTCATTATTAATGATCATTCAGTGTGGCTATTTAAACCGTATTCAATTACTTCTGATTACTGAACACAGTCTCGCTGTAAAATTCAATGATAAGACGCCAATAATGCGTGATTGTGAAATTACGAGGATAAACAAACAATGATTAATGATGAATAATGTGAGTTGATCGTTTCATCACAATTGCAACATACTTTAGTTCAGAGGAGAAGCGAATGTCGATCAATAATTAAGAATAATAGTGAGATAAAGCATACAATAAGATTGCTGCTCTTATAAATATCTGATGAGATCAAAGTTTCTTAGTAAAGAGTGGGAAGCAAAGGTAGCAACAAGTTATTGAGGTACATAAGTTATAGGACTACTTAGTTCATTAAAAAATCCTTAATAAACACATGAGATATGAGAAAATCAATATTTAACCTCATTGAGATAGATATCAAAAACACATCGAGCATAAAACACAATAAGCGATGATGTAACTAAGTAAAAGTGAGAATAAATCAATATTTATGTATGATGAAAGATGATGCGATCAGTTAACGCATAAGACTCAAGTTACTGGATGAGAGAAAGAAGGACTTCATATGGCTTCCTTCTACATACATAAATCAAGCTTGAAAAGTTCGATCGCGATGGGTTTCCTGAGTTCAAATGTTTAAGTGATGTCTTCTGTCAATCAGATCTGGTGTTACTGCATATCTCAATGATTAATTCCTTCCTTTTAATTACAGCGATTTCATCACGTGTTCATAAAGTCTTCTTTCCGTCCATTACAAGTAAATGTTTTGGCTGCTACACGTATAACTGTTCCCTTGGGTTCCGAGTGGAATATAGTGCTTAGACAACACATCTCCGCTTTTTTCCTTTTTTTGCCGTCCTATTTAGATTGCGTCACGATTGACCAAACTCTCTTATCTCTTCCTCACACGATCTCATCCATGTCACCCTCACATCAATGATTCGCTCTTCGATTCTCATTGAGATTCCACTGGAGCGATGGCCTGGCTCGCGATATCGTTCGACGGTCTCCTCAGTGTATACCCGATACATCCGCGTACATTTTCACCTACATTATTCTTGAGTGATCGTCTCTTGATCGGTTGGTTCCACGAAAGAGGTTGTTGTCGATCATTCTTTCTGGCCGGCCAGCCATTTGATCTTCAATATGGAGCCAGCGAGGTTGGCAGCTGTTGATTAAAGTCTGCAATGGCCTGATGGAAATCCTTTTCGTGACATGACCGCCAAGTTCCAGACCCACATAGAAGTGACTGGCTGACTTCACATTGGTGTTGAAAATGTGAATCTTGTTCTTTATGCTGGCTGAGTGCACAACATTTCCAAATTGTTTTCGGGTCAATGAAAGCGCGCATATCTTGCTTTCCAATTTCACGTGGCCTTGACAGATTCATCCGTTCTGCCTGCTGTTGAAACTATGCTTCCTGGCAAGATACGTGAAGGAGGCCACCTCTAGTAAATCTCTCCCGTTGTTGGTGAGTGGTGCTGGTTGTCGTTGTTGTTACGGTTCGTTGGTTATCTTCATCACCTCCATCTTCTCTGTGTTCACCTGCAGTCCTGTTTTCGCTGTCAGCCTGCCTCTTCAGCCAGTTTGTTGGTTTTCGCTTGCAAGTCTTCGACTTTTTGTGTGTGACATTAGACATATATCATCCACTCGCAAAATTCAAATATTTAAGAGTCTTCTTATCGGTTGCAGAGTGTACTCTGGTCTCCTTGCCCCCTTCAGTCTAACGCATAATCCAGTCAGTCCAACACAATTAAGAATATCATCAGTGATACTAGACAGCCCTGTCTTTCTCCTATATGCCGTTCAAACGCCTTGCTGAGTTGTCCATTGTGGATCAAATGACACGTGGCATTGTCATATAGCCAACTGTTGAATGAGGTTGACAAAGACTTGGGCACTGCACGACGTAATATTGAAGTAGCTTCCAAATTACTTCTCGATCAACGCTGTTTGTTGAAGGCGTTTCCGAAGTCGATGGAATTGAGGTACAGAGAGGCTTCACTGCGATTCTGTTCTATGTCTTGTTTTGTGATGACGATGCGTAGAGTTGCAATTTGATCAGCACATGATTTGCCTTCCCTGAATCCAGATTGTTCTGGACGATGAGGCAGAGTGCTGTGTCCAGTGCATCCTTTGTTCTCTCCAGGATGATGCTACCGAGTATTTGACTTGGTGTGGACAAGAGCATTATTCCACGCCAGTCAGTTCTCGCACAAGGAGGCGTGAGTCACCCTTCTTTGGCAGCTTGACAAGGTAGTCAGCCCTTCTTCCAAACAGTAGGCACCTTTCCTTCACTCCAAACCTTTTGCAGAAATGGAGTGAGAACATCAGCCGTAATCTCTGGTGCTGTCTACAGTGCTTCGGAAGGAATGCCATCTTGTCCTGCTGCCTTCCCGGTTGGCTTTCAGTAGCTTGATCGCATTCAGAATTCCTTCTTTCGTTGGAGGAGTGTTGCCCACTGGCAGGCAGTTCTGTGCGTGCTGTTGTTGTTGGTGGTGATGGTATTTCTGGGTGAGTTGCCGATGGTGGCACATTCAAGAGTCATTTAAAGTGATCAGCCCATTCATTTTTTCCCCCTTGGCAATTGATTTCCCTTGACTATCTTTTCTTGGTTTCGTCATCTGGGTTGATCACTTCCCGGATAGCGAGCAGCTTGGTTATCTGATATAGTGTCCTGATGTCTCTTTTGCCTGTGGCCTGCCTGCCTGCCTGCCTGTTCTGCTTCACCTTATGGCCATTGTCTTTTAGAATTGTCATTTGCCTTTCCTAGCACTCTTCTTCAATTCTCTCTTCATTCAGTGCAGTGTACTTTGAATTCGGCCTACACTTCTCTTGTCCATCGTCGCATTGAGTCATCTACTCTTTCACCAGCCCCCTCACCTCTCCTCTCCTCGATTAGCTTCCATGTAAGTGACTGTTGACAGCCATTCCTTGTCTTGTCTATTCATTCTTCCTAGAAAAGTTGTACACTTTTCCTTGAACATCACCTCCTGAGAGTTAGTTCCAATGTTCCTCCAGACAGGTTTCCTCATTGATACCACGAAGTGTGTCCGACTTCGCTTTGATCTGATCTGAAGCGAAAGCATCCCTTGTAGTTTCGTCCTTCAGTTTCTGAATGTTGAACTTGAATTACAGTGGTCTGTCTCCAGTTGTTTTCTTGGATTCTAGCCTCACATTGAAATGTTCCTAGAACTAGATGATGGTGTGAGCCTACACCCGCTCCTCTTATCGACTTTGTATCCAGCAGACTGGCTGCATCTCCACTTCCTTGAGTAGCATTGTGATCAAATCTATCTGGTTTGTGGTGTATCAGTCAGGCGAAAACCATGTTGCTCTGTGTATATCCCTGTGTTTGTACACGATGCCTCCGATCGCCAATCTGTTGGGGGAGCAGAAGTCTTCGAATAATTCTCCGTTCTCATTCATTTCTTCCGAGTGAGAGCCTCTCGAAACATGATGAGTTCTCTTCCTTATTATCTGCTCCCAGTTCCGTTGGCATTCATATCGCCCATAAGGATTTTGATGTCACTATTTTGGATGTTGTCCATTACGTGTAAAAATCTTCCTCCTTCTTGTCTTGTTCCGCGTTGCTTGTAGCATTGTGAGTAGCATTGGATAACTGCTAACTTCCTTGATTGCTTTCGAGTTGAATCCTGCTGTCATGATCCTGAAGGATGAAATCGGTTCCCACTGCATTAGGGCTTTGGCTGCCACTGGTGACGTCATGATGGCCACTCACTGCCTCAGTGTGTTCGTGGTTGCCGTGTG